CGCCCCATTGCCACTTGTACCCAAGTGGATATGTTCCGGAGCGTACTTGCTAGCTCCAAATTTTAATACGACAACGTTCAAAAGCTATTTTCGCAGAAATGCTGACATTCGCGGTGCTCTAGTGGATAGGGTGCTCGGTTCCTGACCTGCAGGTCGTGGGATGGAATCCAGGTTTTGGCGGCTGCATTTTCAATGGAGGCGAAAATTCTGTAGGCCCATGTGCTCAGATTTGGGTGCAGGTGAAAGAAACCCAGGTGGTCAAAATTTTCGGAGCCCTCCACTACGGCATTTCTCATAATCATATGGTGGTTTTGGAATGTTATACCTCACATATCAATCATTCAATCAATCGATCAATCAATCGGAGTTTTTGATTGTAATTAAAAATTTATGCCGTTCGTGACCGCAAGATCAAGATGCAAATAACATGAGTAAGCATGTTTACTTTGAGCCACTAAAGTATGTGTCCTTGCATGCTTTCAGCACTTTCCGTCAAGTCCAGTTCATTTTTCTTCCTGTGTGTGCGTATCTGTGTGCTGGCGGAGTTCTTGCCAGCAACACCTACTTCGAAAACTAAGTTCGAAAGTGTCAAATATAATTTTTTCCAGCCAAAACATATCGTGACCTTCGTCATACTGGCCATTAATAAATTCATAACTATAATAAAAAGAATGTGCAAATGGTCGCACCATGACGTGCTGACGCAGCGAGGAGCAGGCAACATGCTGCCCGCGTGTCACTACTGTATTGCACTGAAGATGTCTTGTTTTCTGCAGGTGCACATTTTAGGCGATCACGACCACGTTTTCTTTTTCTTTTTCGGTGGCAGCAATGAGGCCCATCGTTCCTCCATTTTTGGGGCAAAATAAAGACCAGGTATTACTGGAAAACATAACCTTTGGAGCCACAAGCTAGCCAGCACAGCAAACGACGAGCACAGATTACTTTGAATAGTTCTAAGTTCCTTGCATCACACTTTTTCTATGTTCTGTTAATTCGAAAATCCAATTGATTCGAAGCTTTCTCGCCGCTCCGGTGACTTCGAATTAACGAGGTCTTACTGGAGTTAAATGTTAACTATACATTAATACAAGTGAGCTTGTGCAGTATCAATTGGTGTTTGACAGCTATAACATCGTTTAACGTGGATGAATCCACGCTAACGCTTAGTCATACATCTCAATCCCGACGTATAACATTCATCAATAATGATTAAACAAACCCTTGTGGTCATAGGTGAGACCGAAACCAGAGAAAGTGATGTGACAGACAGATGAACGCAACTGATTGGATGCCAAACTTGAGCTAAGGTTGCCTACTTATGGCATGTTGGAGTTATTGAACACCACAGCCTGGTGAGAGAGAAACGCATTGCACATTGTGTTTTGTCTGTTGGGCGGCCATGATTTTTCGCGATGCGAACGTAAGCTGTGAACACAGAGTTAGTACCTCCAGATGAAGCAGGCGCATTGCTCTATGTGTTACAGAGGTATTTTTTTTGTAAAAATGAATGCTGTGAGCCACACCAATGCTTGGGGTAAGATCTCTACCTGGGGGTGTTTGGCATTGACAAAATTCAGTGGTGCTACTGAGGTCTGCTGATTTGGAGAAATTTTTGGAGCTGTAAAATTTTCCATTTTGGAATCGGGACAATGCTGACCGCACATGGATCGAGAGCGCCAGCAAGAATTCGATGCGTGTGCATGCAGCATTTGTGACCACAGGTTTTTGCTGTGCGTAGACAAGTGGGTGCCGGGAAGTGAGGAAGAGGGCCATTGTCGCAACACATGCCATGAGCAGTGATGTTACCGAGTGTGCTCTGCTGATTTGGAGCAATTTTTGTCGCAATGAAATTTGCATTTTGGATCACCTTAAAGCAGAAAAATTTTCTATATTAGAGCACTTTTCATTTTCCATTTTGGAGCAGTGGAATGCTGACTGGACATGGATCGACAGAGCCATCTAGAATTAGACGAATGTGCACGCAGCACCTGCGACCACAGCTGTTTGTTGAGCATAGACAGGTGGGAGCCAGGAAGCGAAGAAGAGGGCCATTGCTGTGCGCGCTAGCAAAGCTGTTTACGAAGCATAATCGCGGCACATGCCATGAGCAGTGAGTGATGCTATTGAGGTCTGCTGATATGGGGAAAATTTCATAGCAGTAAAATTTGCATTTTGGAGCACTTTGGAGCGGCAAAATTTCCTATTTTGAAGCACTTTGGAGCATCAAAATTTTCCATTCTGGAGCAATCCTAAGCTGCTAATTTTACATCCTGAAGAAGAACCAAGTAACATTTACATTCAAGGACATGAATAAATATTTTTGCATTCTTGTAAAGAGCTAGAAATATTTTGATTATTTGCAAACCTCAAGACGCCAGAGATCTCAGAAACACTCTCTATATCAGTTAATGACGCAAAAATAATGTCGTCCTGCTGTTGAGCATTCTAAAAAACTTCAGTGATTATTTTTGCAGCGAAAAAACTGAATACTGTTTGAATAAAATAGTACTTCATGAAATACCATTCAGAATGCACCTATGTGGTTATCAGCAGATTCAGTAGACAAACACTAGAGACTCACGCAGCCCCACTGCGTTTCTCTAAGATGAATTCAAGGATAAAAAAAGGTTCTTTTTCTTCACAACTGATTATATTACTGGGCGTAACATGACGTCATTTAGCTAGTCTCATAAAGCCAACATCCTCCGGCATTTATTTCTCTATGCTGAAACTGAAGGACTTAATAAACTTTATTTTCCCTCTGCAGTGATGCTTTCTGTGGCTAGAATGTTCTGTGTATACACCAAAAAACCCCTGTAGTGTCCCCTAGAAAGCAGTGCAAAAAGAAAAAAGACAACCTGAAGGAATGCCTTATGCATTTGCCTAAGACAATTTGAAAGCGAGAGCCATTTTAATTTTATTGCAATAGCAATTATATCGACATTCTCGACTAGATTTTGGCATCACCAGGGCAGTAGGAAGAAATATTTTTCATTTTTAGGGTGGGGGGGCACCTTGATTTGAAGGGGGGCAGGCAGGCAAATGGTCATTTTGTGCAATATTTACAATAGCGAAAAAAAATTTGGTGAGGGGGGGGGGGGGCGTTCTCAATGTCCTCCCTCACTCTGGCTACGCCACTGGCCGTCAACGTTCTGTTTTAAGTACTGTCCAAATTAATAACACCCTCCCGCACATGGTGTTTTGCATGCGGCTAAAAGTATGTGAGCGGGTGTGACGAACGCGACTAAAGCAGATATAAAAGAGCCGACGTATCTCCTTTGCATGGAGGACGGATGCGATACAATTACCCCCCCTGTCAGGCCTGCCATCGATACTCAAGCAGAGGAACACGCCGCCCGTTTTCAAGGAGCAGGAACGAACTAGGACCGCAAGGGGGGGAGGGGGGGAGCTTTCAAATTTGTCTTTGGTGCAGTTCGGCACAATTTTCATTGATATTATCAGGATGGCACAGTAAATTTGATTTGGCATATTTTGGCGCAGTTGGTGCAGGAGTGGGATCACTGCAAAATTGCGCATACTCCTACTACAATTGTACTGAATGAGACGAACGCTTAGAAACGACGCGTGAGAGGAAGTAATCATGGATGCCGCGGTCATGATACAAAATGGCACTTTGCCAAGAATGCTAAGAGGACTGTAGTAAAGGCGTATTTTGTAAGGGTGCAATGTATGTGACAATGGCGCAGTGGATAGCGTGCCCGCATCTGTTGCTACAGACCCGGAGGTCACGGGTTTGATTCCTGATGACGTAACTTTTTCTTTGTCGTCTGATCGTGCATACTTTTTCGACGTAACTTCGGTGACCAAAACATGTCAAAGAGGTTGTGGTGGGCCACGACGTAAAACACATCCATGTTAACAAGCAAGGGTTTCAGTCAGCCCTGTAGCCAGGAATTTTTTTTCGTGGGAGGCACTTGCTGAAAGCCTTCAAGAACGCCTATTTTAATTATTTCTTATTAGTGAAACACTCCCCTCTGTTCAAACTTCGGAGAGAATGGGGCTTTCCCCCTGACCTGGTGCTAGTGCTTGAGCAGTGTGCAAAGATGTGCTTTTCAGGACTGCCTCCTTCACTGGGCATTCAGTCCATGGGAAAATCCGCAGCCCTACTGCCTGTAGCTTCAGCGTAACCGAAGCGCTCCCGCCACGAGGGGAAAATGCGGCCAGGCACAAAGCCTTGCCGCTTTGTGCCAATCAGTACACTCGAGTTTGGCAACGAGCACGCAAAAGCTGAGTACGTCTTTTGTGAAGCAGTTCCCGTGAGCACAGAATTCCCGGGTCAATGACTGCGCCTATACTCGACTGCATCGCTCATCCAGCTATGGCATCGGACGCTCGGTGCCTTCAACTCGGCGAAATTATGCTGAACAGTACGAGAACGCTTGACTCTCGCGTGCCGTGGACAGCATATACAATGTATTCTGCTATTCGTACAAATCCTTTCGTAAATAAGTTTTATGTGTGCTTGTTCACCTGCGTCGATTTTTCAGGGGGCAAACACTGAGCCCCATAACATTGCAATCACGCATGGCATAATTTGTTGTACCTTCGAATTCACTTTTCTTCATTGCTGACGTATAATCGCTATCACACTCATCTGCCACTGCTTGTAGCATGTGTTTTTACTTCATAATCACTGCAGATCAAAAAATCAGATTATAAATGCTATTGGCATTTCTCGCGTTAATATTTCGTGAGAAGCTCTGACCGTTAAGACTTTCATTGCACTAAAAAAAAACAGGCACATCAAAAATTAGTAGTCAATTGGCCCTCTGCACAATCTCACAAGTGGTAATGAACAAGCGCTCCTTTCATGCTGAAGAAGATCATGCTGAAATAAGATCTCTGTGTTCACTCTGAATAAACACCACTGGAAGGGGCGCTCCAAGCGTGCGTCTGCATTCGTACACCTCTTACACATAAAAACAATTTGCACCGGCATACCATGTAGTACACGAAGATAAGCAAAATATACCTACCATCAATGCGCAGGTAATCATTGAGCACTTGCAGCAGAGGGAAGCTATCCCAGGTGTCAGGCGGTTGCTCCGCGAGCACCGCGTCCATGTCAACCGCGAACAGCGACCAGAAGATCTCGGCATGTTCCACCAGCAGGTCGCTGAACCACGCAAACGCCTGCAGCATAGCAAGTGTCCAGCTATTCCACGGTAGTAAAAAAAATTAATATATATGTAGAAAAATATGTATGCATATATGTTCCACAGCAGTGTGTGTGTTGTATATACAGTGGAAACCTCAGTGAGATGATCATCCCTAGCGCCTATTTCTGGGTGATTTAAATTTTCTTATAGTCCCGGCTCCGACTTTACAAAGGCGAGCAGATAGACCCCCCCCCCCCCCCCAAAGCACTGCGCCAGGTACCCTTACGACGCTCTCGTAAGCTGTATGTTCATTGAATCGTACATGACTTTGTCTGAAAACATGGTGGCGCGCATGACGATGCTGCAGGCAGTTGCCAGGCAAAACTGAATAAGTGCGCTGTGTTCACTGAGGTGATGTTGATCATGAAAAACAGCTTCCAATAATTTCACGCGAAGAAATTTCAAGGGTGCCGAAAAACGCTGTGAGCATGCCTTTATCAACGCTGCACTCCACTGCCACCGGCAGTGCTGGCCCATTTTCAACGAGTGCAGGATACTCGCAGAAGTGGAAACCGGCTGAGGCCCAGTGACCCTCAATGTAATGCATTGCGGTTGTTGGGAACAGATCTTCACCTCGTGACATTTGATACGAACGTACGCTACTGCGAAGGTATGAGTGCTGCAACCACGAAAGGTGCCCCTATAGCACGTGCAGAAACCCAAACACAGGCACGCGCGCCTCCAAATCATTGCACTAGACCTTGAGTGAGGTGTCCTAGCCTCCAAGAATATTAGAGGTCCCAATGCACCTTCGTGTGCCTTTACATTGCAGGTGGCCTTGACTTGGCACTCTTATTTAACGTGTGGATGCGTGATGCTGTCATTGTACTGTATTAATGGGTGCTTTTCACAACGATGCACGAGACTGAAAGTTGAAGCGGACAGTCTTGGCGAAGGCAACGTTGCTAGAATAGATTCAGTTTTCAAACTCGCTTGTACTGCGTGGAACCACCATCGCACTTGCTAGGTGCTGGCGCAGCAGTCGCCCGAAGCAATGCACCTGACACGCTGCTGCAACAGAAGTGATGGTGTTTTCTGGCAATGTGCCGTAGTCCAGTCACCCTTTCGCAGGTACTGTTGTCTGATCACAAGTCGTCTATTCATTCGTCGTCAATAGTCTTTTGTGCAATAAAACAATTGAGGTCACTTTTATTGTACATAACTGGTGGTTTAAGCACTGTGGTTTTAGTAAGCCAAACCATGACGATTGGCTCAATTTACAAATTGACTTTTATTAGCACGTTGTCTAAAAGTTCTCGTGCAACACGTGATATGCGTGAGCTAACCATGCATTCGGTCTGTTATGTCTAAAGTCGCCTTTTTTCATTCGCAAACGCTCGTTAATCTGGCCGCAGGCTTGAATTCCCGATATATACATGGCACAACAGCAGGTGCGAGTTTGTATTTCCGCACATTAGCAACAACATTGAGGGCACTTGGTGTCACAGTTTTGACATCTTACTCAGCAATATCATTCCATAACTACACGTTTTATTCACGAAACCTGCGTGTAAAATTCATATAAGTTCAATAATTACAAGCTTGTGTCTTCAAAACAATGATTCCCATTATGCCCTTAAATTCCGACAATTATAAGTTTTACTGTAGATATACGTTCAAAAAGTAAGACCCATTCAAAACACGCCTGCATGGGACTTGGAAACAAATTCCGTCTGGCACGCTCAAACACAGAACCATGCCGCCCAATTTATCTGTGGTAATTATGGGTTTATTAAATCCGGGAATTTTTGAGTACTAGTAGAAAACCAGGAGATTAGAAATCATTTCCAATTTTTTTATTTTCGGTATGGGTAAAATAGGTAGCAAAACCTACCTTTTATCCCCTCACTGCAAAAACAAGGGAAATTATTTGTAGAACAAACGTCCTTTAGAACTCGTTTTTCTCACACACTACAACCAAGTGGAATAACCTATGGCCGCAAACTGTGCCATGCCGCTCTGAAGCATCGCTTAGATAATTACTGTGATATATAACGGTTAAAGGAGTAAAGTAATACCTTTCAGTCTGCTTTGAAACCAGCTAATGAGCACCAGAAAAAATTTATTGCATGTCACCCTTATTATTAGTTACATGTCTGGTTGTACATTCAAAAACCACGATATGGTTACAAGACGCCGTAGTGGAGGGCTCTAGAAATTTTGACCATCTAGTGTTCCTTAATGTGCACTGACATCGCACAATACACGGGCCTATAAACATGTCACCCTTGCTTACTGCAATAAAGCATAGTATTTTTGAGGCCAGGAACAAATAAGTGTCTGAAACCATGTTTAGAAACTCTTAGATAGTGCTATCAAGTGAACAAACAGGCGTGCGCTGAGCAGAACACACCGTGCCGGCTAGAGCCCACTGCGACAGTCCTGCCATCTGGTGGAGAGCATACAAAAAGTTCCATCTACGGAGCACGGTGGAGACTTCGACAACTGAATTTATTCTAGTAACGTTGGGTAAAAGAGCCTCACAACATCAACGTGCGCTGTTATCAGAAACCCAAACACTTGCCCACTCTCCGATTGAGCGGGCGTGGCCGTAAACGTCCCGAAAAACGCTCCCAGCACCACTGCAATCAGGAAATAATAACAAAAACAATGGTTCTAAAATTGTCTATCTTGTGCAAATTACTTCTTAAGTCATTTTCGCAGCACTACTACGATGCCACGTGAAAAGCCTACTAAAATTAGGAAGGGGCAACTACTTGTACCTTTGTCATAAGTCGCAATGCACCTGGTTCAGTAATTAATCACGCGCACACGGGCCCTATATTTACGAGTGCAAGTGAAAGTGCAATTGTTGACGACTAAAACTTTACTGGATGACATTTAGAGCTGTTTGTGGCATTGTTGCAGCACTGAAAAACAATCAATGGAAACGTAGGCCAGCATCTTTTTTTTCTTGCATGCTAATATTTCATGCTTTCTGGTGGCACGAGCTTCGGATTATATTTTTAGTGAGCTCGCGAGATTTGCATCACCGAGGTTTTACAGTATATTGGAGGCCTGGCCCTACGTACAGCGTGTGAACGTAAGCAACAAAAAGCTTGACATAGGCGGCAAAAAACACGCCACGCCGTTTAGAGAGCAAAAAAACTTGACTGAAATATCATTGAATACACATTGGGAGGAAGTCGGCCTTGAGAAGAAGCAGCAGCAGCAAGGGCTTGAGGTCTGCATGCAGACTGCGGAAGGGGGCCTTCAAGGATTCTGGAGGACCCCACGAGCAAGTTTCCACGTAGAGCAACTCCTCTATATCTGTTATTGGAACACAACACGTGGCACTGGAGCAAGGCGGAAGCTTGTCTATTTTTCGAGGGACGAGTTATTTCATTCTGCTGTTCGATTGTGCACATGAGACACGCTACCCAGCAGTGCCGCACAGTTTGCCGCCAACTGGTCCACGCCATTCGCCACCACCAAAACAAGCGACTACCAGCAGTGCCCCAAGCATGCAAACGTGTCACCCCGAGTTCTGGTCCACTCAAATGATTTTGGCGGAGCAGCTTCGCCTGCTCCATGGAGTAGCTCCCACTCTCTCTCGCCCTCACTCTGCCACACACTCCGCCACAAATCCCCTCTACATGCGGACAAAATTGCTGCCTCATCTCCAAATTGAACAGAGCTGCATGCTGCCGGCTGTTGAATATGATGTTTAAAAAGAACCTGTCCGTAATTTTCACTACATAAGTCTTAGAGTAGAGAGTGAAGCAGCAATGAACCGAGGGGCGACAGATGCTATTCTCGCATCCAAACACGGCCTCTTCGTATGTCTTGCTGTTTTCTCTTCTTGTTTGTCCCCCCCCCTTGGCCCACATTTAGGACACTATGCATAGCTGAAACTCTCGCTTTAACAGTTATGCTGCTAAAATGTAGCCAAAATTTGGCTCAAGATAGCGAAACCTGCTGGTCACGAGGCCATTTAGCTTTATATTACTGCATATATCTGCCGTTAAAGTTATCTTTACTACTTTCCTGGTTCAAGTCGCTAATAATTTGATGCAGACTAGTTGGCACTATTGCTCAAGAGCCCACTGAAACCTGCAAACCATCAGTTAGTGAGATGTTCTCCAATAACTGTCATTTTGTGCTTTACATCCGACCTGTGAAACATTTATTTTGCGGACCGAAAAGACATCAACTGACACGCGCTCTTCCTCCTCCTAATTTTCTTCGCATCTAGGACATGTGCACCCGCAGGGTGCAATGACGTATGCTAAGAGATAGCTAGAAGGCAAACAAAGAGAGAGAAAGGAATATCAACAGACACAAAATAGATGTGCGCAGCTTGCACTAGTGGTACAAGTCTGCAACTATCAGCACAGCTAGTGTTCGAATAAAGATTTCCTAGTAATTCCAAGCTTCTTCTAGAGGTGCTACTTTTTTGCTAATACTGTACTAAGCATGGCTAGAGTTGGCTAGACACATACCAGCAAGAATGAACTGAATGTGATTTAACTTGTATGTTTCCCCTCATGTTAACAACTGAGGAAAATGATCCAGCTTGTACGAGAAAAGAAAAACCACAAATAATTGTGACAAGCGTTTTTGCTGTACTTAAAGGGACACTAAGGGACAAAATGATTTTTTGCGTATTTGTAAATTACAACTTCACTCTTAACGTGACACGATGCTTAGTTAGCAAGAAAACATGCGAAAAGAAAATGCAGGTAGCGACGCCATCCCCTGATTCTCGCACCAAACACTGTGACGCACGAAAGTTTGCAGGTGTCTATTGAGTCCTACATAGCTTTCAAATGACAAAAATAAAGTACATTATAATCTGTGGGTGTTGTAGACTTAGCATATGAAGCATCATAAAATTTATTCAAGCCAATGTCGCAAAAATACAAAAACACACTTTATAGTTTCTTACGTCACAAACGGAGATTTTGGCACAATATTTAAAAATAAAACTTCGACGTCGATTTTGTCAGATAATAATGGCATCATGATAGTGTA